CAGGGTCTGAAAGGGCTTCCCATTATCTGAGGCTGATTAGGTCCATGGCTAATATATCCTTCTTGTGTAAAAGACAGTAAATCATCCTTTAATGTATTAAAGGTTTTCTTGCCACTGATATTGTATTTCTTCTTGTTTCTTTTCTTTTTCCTCCAACAACTGCTGTAATCTCTCTTCTTGTTTCTTTACTCGTTCTTCCTGTTTCTTTTGCTGTTCTTTTATTGCTGACATCAAATCTGCTAAGCTGTAGTTTGATTCGCCACTTCTCGTATCCATCATCTTTTTTTTCCGTCCCACTCTCTGAGACCAATTTGTTGGTATCTGTTCGTTTGTTAATTTCCCGTAAAAATTCATTCTGAAGAACTTCAGCGATACAAGTTCTTTCTTAAATAAAACTAGTTTATTCTTTCACTTAAACACACACTATAATTCACAACGATTCCCACACTTTACTTACAGTCACTACCGCTCGCTTGACTCAATTGTCTGTCTCTATATCTGCAATCATTTGCCGAGCTTATATACTAAAATAGAGGGCATCTGGCAAACGCTCGGGCCTTCATGATCCTTCTAGAAACTCATCACATGTTACCAGCATCACATGACTTCCGCTGTCGTAACAATATACATATATATACTGAATCTATAGTAACATGTGGTTAGTAATTGTAAATGTTTCATTTAGATGTTACAATTAGGTATTGTGATCTCAATACCAAGTTATTCTCCCACTTTTTGTTTTACATAACAAAATTATTTGTATTACAGAAGCACTGCGTTCACAAAAAAAACCGGTCTGTCCTGGTTTGGGGTTAACCAACCCCTGCTCTTTTCCTAGGTGGTAATTTTGCAACCCCAAAGGGATATGTCATGTGCAAATTATGAATGTAATATGGTATTATCAGTAACTAAGTTTCATCTATTTATCTCTACTGCATATTAGTAACTGTGTTTTGTTACAGAAGCCATTTTTACCTCTGCAAACATATTAACATTATTAAATTGTGAATGATTTAAAAAAACTTCAAATATTATAAGTGTAATTAATAGATTTTGTGTGACATTTAATCAAAGTTTTAGCTTAATTATATATATATATATATATATATATATACATAATCAATAAATAAAACATCAGAACCAAAACTTATTCAGAAGTTGTTTATTTTATACATATAGAGTTACATTTTATTGTACAAAAATTTATCCACATTCGCTGTTGATGCACAATGGCAAAAAACAAAAACAGAGTACATTCAAGAATAGGTAATGGGTTTTAAATATGTGGGAGGGAAAGGTCAATAATCTTATAAAACATTTATCGAACAAATGTAAAAAAATAAAATAAAAAAAAAACAACAACAATGTCTGAACAGTTATGCACCCTCATAATTATACATAAAACAATCCAAACAGTTTAGAGATCCAGTCCAATGCTAAGCTACTCAGAGGTGGAAAGGTATTTTATTTATCAATTATATATCTGGTAAATGGTCAGTTTGGTAAGGTACTGGAAACAGATTTCAGTGGTTAGAATCAAAGAAAAGTCACATTTAAGCTAAAGAGATAATACATGATTAATAATATTTTTCACTTATATATTAAGTCATACAAAGATTTAATCTCGAAAGAAATAAAATCCTATCAACACTTAACCTCAAAATAAATAAAGTCTCTGGGAATTCAAACTGAAAAGCAAGTTTTGTTCTACTCTTCCCCTCTCTGTTACAAACGTAAGAAAGAAAAATATTATCTAATTTGGTGATGTGTGCTATGATGTTATATAAACTTATTTCCTATGAACACTGAAAATTTACTTATGAAAACAAAATTTGCTTTTGATTATTTTCAAACAAAAAAACAAACTATTTTCATACCTGGAATGCTTGAAAGTTCAACCCTCAATAACAGTACAATAAAGCCAAACTGAATATATCAATACTAAAAAATTTTTTAAATACAATTTATGAAAATATCAAGCAATTAGAAAAAGATGACAGCATGTATTCTAAGTACACATGACTGTTTTGTACTTTTATGAATGAAAACAAAATATCAGATAAAACACTTTTTCTAGTGAATTTCAAGTTCTAAAAATACTCATCCATACATGAAAAAGAAAAATTAACGTTAATTTCCAAACATTGTAAATGTACAAGAAGCACTTCCTTCTTGTTTGGTCCATGTGTTTTGTAAAAAAATACATGATCAATGGGAACACAGTTATTAGTTATTATCATTGGCCATTTTACATTATTTTGTAAACAACGAGGTAAAGCATGTATATATTTATATATATATAAACAACATTTCTTGTAGTCAAATCTAACAGGGGCAAGAAAACTTAATATTACTACTGCATTTACAGGTACCAAGTTACATTAAATTCAACACTTAAATAAAATTTCCTTAATTATTACAAAAACACCACCTCAAAACATCTGTAAGACTGAGGTTTTCCAATACTTGGCTGGAAAGTTCACCAAGTTGGCTTGCATGACATCACAGATTTTCTTTCCTATAAACTGCATAAACCTTACTAGTGAAGCTGGTAAAATATAAACTTACATACAGTCTTGATCCATTTATTATACAGGACAAGTTCAACTAATAAAGTATATAAAATTACCCTAATGATCATCTTGTGGAACAAAATTCAACCAATAGTATTTTTACTTAGGAAGAAGTTCAACTGGTCAGGTGATCAAAATGTGGGACAAGTAAGCTATACACAGTGACTTACTGTTCAACTGATTACATATACACAGTAATCCACTGATTGCACTGTGGGAAAAGCCAACTGATAATGGATGCACTGATCATATTGTTGGACAAGTCAGCTGGTAATGTTTACACAACGATGCACTGCTTGTTTTGTGGGAGAAGCAAACTGGTAATGTTTACACAGTGATGCACTGATCATATATTGCAAGAAGTTCAAAAGACACTTTTTACACTAGAGCATGTTCAACAGATAATGTACATTCAAGTTAAACCAAGAGATATGTACCCAGAAGATATTTAACTGTCTTGAATTCCATCTGCTTCAGCTAAACAGTGGGCAATAATCTGAGATGCTTCCATTGATGACATGGCTAGGAGAGTAAGATCTGGTTCGTATCTTTTTAAGTAGCTAAAAAACAAAAGAAAAAAATGGCCATTAGTATAATGGCTGATCCCTCTGACATTTAGCTTTTTTTGTTTTTGTGTCCTAATAAATCTGGTGTGTTTGTGTGTGTGATTTGTGGTTATGTTTTATTTTGCACAGAAACCATATTTCTTAACATTTTAACCTTAACATCAATAAGGCTCTTCACCATCCTCAAGGGAAGTGATCCATGAAGTTTGATTAAAATTTCCTATTTAGGACTTTAATTAGAGTGCACAAAGTAGATGTCAACAGATGGACAGACGGGACAATGCCATCCCTATATCCTCCTGAACCTTTTCAGTCATGGGGAGAAGGGATAAAAACAAAGTACTGGGCATTTATCCTCAAAAATATATATTAAATATTTTTAATGAGCTGTATGTAATACTTGCTAATCTATCTCTTATATAAACAACTGACATTACATAAAAATAATCATTTTAATTTCACCTACAGATAGTGACAAAAACCATAAATAAGTACTGCCTAGTTCATTGTATGCTTACATACAATATAAATTAATTTTCACATTTAAAAACATAAATATTTTACATAGAATTGTGGTGATCATAACACTTCACATATTATTCTCCATTAGATGATGCTAAATCAAACTGCTGATAAAGGTCAGGTGAGAATCATCAGACAACAGTTGTTATTATCATCACATTAAACGAATTTATAGCAATTTGGTGCTCATTAACACTCTGATAAAAAGTTATGTTTATTACAAATTAATGAATCTATAGTGAACAGGTGAGTGGGTGCTAATTCTCAGATCTGATTAAAACATGCTCTGATTGTTATTGTTCATTGAGTTTATAATAAAAAGGTACTTATTCTAAAATTTAATATGAACAAAATCTATGATTATCACTGTTCAATAGGCTATAGTGTGCAGGTGCTTTGTTTTTGAAATTTTATGCAAAGCTACTCGAGAGCTGTCTGCACTAGCTGTCTCTAATTTAGAAGTGATAGACTCAATGGAAGGCAAATAGTCAACACCACCCACCACCAACTGTTGGTAAAAGTGAGATTGGCTGCCACATTATGTTACCAATGTTCAGTGACAGGATTTGAGCTCGCGACTCACAGATTGTGAGTCAAGCATCCCAACCACCAGGCCATGGTAGGCCCGAGTAGGTGCTAATTCTAAATTCTGATAAAGAAGTTATGATTATTATTGTTCACAGAGTATATGATGAGAAGATGATTATTCTGAAATCTAATAAAACATCTATGATTATCACCGTTCAATGGCGTATAATGAGCAGATGTTCATTCAGATTCTCTGTTCAAGCATTTTGAAAAGTCATGGAGAGAGAAATAGAACAAAATACAAAAATGAAAGAGCATTCAAAAATATTATTTGTATCTGTTTAGAGCAAACAGGCAATTAAGTTGCAAATGAGACTTTTATATATGTAACAATAATGAACAATAGTATGCCCTGAATATAACCTTTAGATACACATCATACATACATTACAAGTATGTCAACAGTGAATCTGTATGCACATCAATAATATTAACTAATATATTTTTTTTTGGGTAAACCACATCTGGGGGGAAGTAGTGGTATTTTACATATTATACACATTTTACAACATATAAAATCATTAATGCTACATAAAGTAAATAGTTAAATGTCAAGAAACTTACAATCAATATGAAACTATTCAACAATTCACTTAAGTAACTTTCAACCTTAAAAAATATTTTTAAATGTATCTATAACATTACCTGCGTGCTAATTCTGAGTTTACAGTAAGATTCCTTAGGATGAGGGCTGCAGTAATTCTAATACTTTTCTCTAGAGGGCTTTCTTTTTTTTCCTATTCAAAAAATAAATAAATAAATCATAGTACCATAAAGGAATGATACAGTTTTTAGGACTGCTTGTGTACAGTTTGTATAAAAATATTACAACATTTGAAATAAAACAATGTGATAAACTACTTAAATCATTATTTACATGTTTAAAGTATACAGTAAATGAGATTTCTTTGATCATAAAATTCCATCCCCTCCACAAAAAAAGAAACAAAAAAACAGTATACAATACACAAACAAGAGCATACAGAGAGAATGCATACCCTCACCCTGCTGCTCCTTTTCGAGATTGCATGCGTTTATATTGGATGACATCAAATCCTTCTCAGATCCAGAATGATCAACATGTGTGATGAGGAGTCTCAACCTTAATGTGTCCATGAATTTTTGGAGCAAATCTGATCACACTTTACAGAGTTATTGACCCAAAACTCCCCATTATAAAAAAATGCTTCAAAGTAATCCAGAATCTGGATCTAGACCAAATTTGGGGAGGACTGTCCCATACTGACTTCCCATTTTGTGTAAAATTTTTGTGTACATCAGTCTATTAATTTTTGAGATACACATGTAGAAACACACAGACAGACACAAACATGCACGGACCCAATTGCAATACCAATCCCCCCCTCTGGGGATGAGGGTAAATATTGTTTTGTGAAGAAGTACTTTACATTGTATGTATATGGTCATATTCAGTTTTCAGAAATATCCAATAATTCCAAAACATACAATATACTTGTACACAGACATGAAATATCTGAAAACATATTCAAATGAAACATATGGGTCAAAGTTTTTACAAATAGGTCCATATGAAAATTACTGTATGAAAAAACAAAACAAAAATCTATACATATTATATCCCCAAAAGTACTTGGAACAAAACATTATGAGATAAGGGAGGTTGTTGGATTTTACATATGGACCCCATTTTAAGACACTGAAAGCTCACCTCTGATATTAATCATTCACAGCTTCAAGAGTAGTAAGATTTTAGAGCATGTTCCTTCCATCTTTCACATGGTATTCCAACATCTCCAAGAATGGATCTGTTGGATCCAAGTCCAATTTGTGGGTTGTCCAATGCAGATTTCTTGATGTTATTTGTTTTAAGCAACTGTTGGACATGATGCAATATGTCATGATGTGCTATATAGGAAGTGAAACATTGTCGAAAACATCTCTATACAACCAAGAATAAATAGTTCCCTTATCTATTGGTAGATTTCTTGATGTTATTTGTTTCAAGCAACTGATGAGCATGACATATGATATGGCATGTTGTACTGTATAGGAAGTGAAACATTGTTGAGAACATCACTCTACTGCCAGGCATTCATAGCTCCTTTACCTACTGGTAGATTTATTGATATAATTTTGTTTCATGCAACTGTTGGCAAGGTGTATTATTATACAGGAAATGAATTACTGTCCACAACATGACAAATACTATGACATTCATGACTCACTTAACTATCTCCAGAGGCCAAAGTCCAAATAAGCTAAAAGAGGATACATCACAATATTACCTTGCCACTCTTTATGATTAGGATGGCACAGTCACATTCAAACTGTTCTCCAGCTGACTGTCAAATCTAGATCTTTCCGATCGAACTAATCAAGAAGAATTCATTGTTCCACCCAAATTCCAACAATAAGGCACTATTATAGCCAATGACATGTATTCATGGCTGTGAAAAGTGGCTTGTTGGCTACAATCTATCTGAGAAATCCAACACAATTAAGTGAACTATAGAAGTGTTGATGTGTTGACCTGCAGTACTGAATTTTCATTTCCATCCTAGGTGAAAAATCTAATGCTAAATGCCAGAATTTCTTTCATGACACGTTTAAAAGTTTTCATATAGGACATCTAATGGTCTTTCTTTTCTTGAGGACATCACCCACAGTACGTTTGGTTTCTATAAGTGGGCAGAATGATTTTGGATACACACACCTACTATGCTGTATCAAATAATCACTCCTCTTCTTCAAAGATGTGTGACGTCCTTTTCTATTGCATATTGACTAACTGAGTATTTTACATTTACAGCATAAGACAACAGTAGTACCAAAAGTAGTAAATTGCATATGGAGTTAAAAAGTAAAGGTGGGATTGTTTGTTTTTGATATTTGTGCAAAGCTACACTGGCTATATGCTTTAGCCATTCCAATTTTGAACTCACAGATTAGATGGAAAGCAACTAATTAACAGCACCAACCTCTAACTTTTGGGCCATTCTAATCAAATAATGGGATTTCACTGTAACTATTATAATGCAACCATGGCCCCAAAGTGTAGTATGGGATTTTGTGGAAATGGGACATGAACCACCATATACTCATATATTCACAATACAGTGCACTACCACTAGGTCGTGCCCAGCCAATAAGCATGAAAGAAGAAGAAGGAAAAAGAGAGAGAGAGAGAGAAAGATGAACGAGGTCTCATAAAAACCTAATAGCTATAACATTAGTGTTAAGTACTTATTGCTTTTCACTTTTAGCACTTATTGTATATGAGTTAGATCCAAAATATAACAAGTTTTCAATTGTTTTTAACTTTTCTAATTTCATATAATAAATTTTATTGTCCTCATGTATGAAATAGCAGTCTTGGCTAATTTTCATCTTTGTCGAATTTTATGTTTAAACTTTTCTTGTGTGTTTTATTGTTAGAAATCTTAAAAGGTATTGTGAACTTCATAGATAACTTGATAATGTATTTTCTTTTCAAATTTATTTAAACGTTTTTTTGTAATGAAAGACTGATGAACAAATTTGTTGAAATTTAAAACTCTCTTCTGTTACTATTAACATAATTAAAAGAAGATATTACAGCACATTTAGCATATTATTAAGTTGCCTTTACAGGTGGTAGATTTTCCTAAATTCATAACAGAATCTGAGAACAAAGCAGTTTGTCTCTTGTTTTCATATTAAAGTTGTTTAATATAGAAAAAAACTACTTTATGTAACATGGTATTTTTCCTTTCTTCAGTTGTCTTTACATAAAATTTAAAAAGGATCCATGTCTCATAATGCATACATTACAAAACAATGATTTAGACAGTTTTTAAAAGGAAAGTATCTGCATTGTTCTCATAAGATACCTACCACAAAGAATATGATCTCAAAACAATACGCTATTTTCATTAAAACTGTGGTAATTTTGTTGACTTAAAGTTACTGATATCTTATATTCTTTAGACTTTTAGAGTGTAATTATTACTGAAGTATACACTGATGAAATGTTAGCATGTTCTATCATAACTGGCATTTTGAGTATTTTGTTAAACTGCTATTACCGTTTTTAGGAAATTGCAGGTTACTTACCACAGTTTCTAGGCCTGCAACAAGAACATATTTAAGCTAAATATCTAAGTTATGACAACTCAATTTGTTTTTCCTTAAAAATACATAGAAAAATGTAACAAATAGATATAATCAACTGTTAAAATTATTTAGTCCAAAATATTTCCACAGATAATATCTTCTATGTCAAACTAGCTCTCCTTCCTAAAATCTATATCATAAAGATATTTTATTCTATAATAGTTCCTCAAAATTATTAATTATACTTGAATTTTAGATTATTTAACATCACTATCCACATAAAACAGTATTTTTTCTGAAACTCAAAATATATTTTGAAAATGGCACTAACAGTAAACTCCCTTGGATTAATAAACTCTACAGCATGTCTTCGTATGGCTAATCGTGCAGCATCTGGTGCATATCCCGGATGAGGAGGTGGTGAAAAAGGATGGGCAGTGGTTGACTTCCCATGATTTCGAAGTACTTGCTCGATGCAATGATAGTCCTTTGTAACAGAAAAATGTTCATGTAATATTATACCTTTTAATTATTATTTTTTAAAGTACAAACTGAGTAAGAAAATTATTATGTGATATGTTAAATATATATATATATATATGTTGTAACTATTTATTTAAATATATATTTTATAACAATTCCATAAATATAGCAAAAATGATATGAATAAATAAATAAAAGCTATATATTTTACATTTTATATAGAATAAAAACTAAACTAAAAAAAAACAAATGTATACACGTGTGTGTGCCTGTTTCTATTACTTGTTTTTTTTATCTGTTTTTACAGCCAGGTTGGTATTTTGTATTTAAGGCAAAGTTACTAAGGCTATCTGCCACTACTGTCTACAAATTTGAGCTACTGACCAGAGGGAAGACAGCTGGTTAGCATTACCCTATTGCCTATATTAATAGATCGACTATTGTTATTGGATGTAATAATTTATACATCAAATACATTTCTACAAACTTTAAAAATACACTCCTTTCATCTCTTGAACCATTAATGAGTTATTTTAACAGTCTCCACCTTAAGGTGAATATCGACCAGTTAACCTGTGTAACACTTAATTTTGGATAGAAGAAATATCATACACATCAGTATGTATAGACCAGTTAACCTGTGTAACACTTAATTTTGGATAGAAGAAATATACTGATCTGTATGATATTTCAATGCTATAATGCTTGAAAGGTTGGAGTTGCCACTTTCAGGTTAGTTTAAAAACGATTACAGATTATTGTTTTTTTTCTAAATAGCTTACTTATAACCTGACTTAATCTTTAAGGGTTAAAATGTCAGTAAATTCATAACAGCACTACCTGAAAATGGGTAAGTAATGAGAGCTGTTTCCTTTTCAGTGTGTCGCAGCCATCCCACTGACAAATGAAGTCTCCATTGACTGTGGGTGTATGGATTTTATAGGTGTGTACTAATACAGCTGAAGGTGTTTGGAATGTCCTGAAAGGATCAATGTTAGGTACATTTATTAAAAACAATTTGGAATGAAAATACAGTGCTGAAACAGAAAAAAAATTACAGTGCTGAAACAGAAAAAAAAAAAAGAGAAAATGATATATAACCTTACATATTCAAGCACCACATACCACATGGAGATTTTCATTTTTTCTAAAGAAACTGCTGTATGATGTTTCTTGAAGTTATTTCATGTTTTATTTAAATAAGCTGTTTATAACAAGATTTTGAAGGAACTACCAGATTATAAAGTCACAGGATAGTGTTTTACAAATACTGGTAACAAAAATAAATAGTTGCAAAAGAGTTACAAATCATCCAAAAATGCAATACAAGAACTTTTTTTAAATGATAATTGATAAAGTCAGACTTGTTAGAAAAATATTAATCTTAAATCATTAACCGTAAGTTATAAGTTTTTCATACACAATATTTGCAAAGATCATGACAGTAAATGTCATACAACAAAATAGAAATGAATTGCAATAAGTTCTGAGATGAGATTTTCAGGAATTCTTAACTCAATTCCGCATCCTTTCCAACCACATGTATACATCATTTCATACACAATATTTGCAAAGATCATGACAGTAAATGTCATAGAACAAAATAGAAATGAATTACAATAAGTTCTGAGATGAGATTTTCAAGAATTCTTAACTCACTTTCCGCATCCTTTCCAACCACATGTATACTTCATTTCAGGAACTGAACTTGATTTTTGAGGTGGTTTTGTTCTTGATATTGTGCTAGAACTCTTACTAGACTGGACTCCTTCATTTTTCTTTCCTGTAGTGGAGTGTTTAATTGCAGGGTTCTCAGATGACTGACATTGTTGCTGGACATTTACATTAGAAAATGAAGGTTGTAATTTCTTGGAAACTAATCCTAGACACTGATTCAAATTATTAACCTCTGGCATAACTGTCCTAGAAATAACTGCAGAACTAGGAGACTTCACTCTTTCATTATTCTGACCTATCACTGTTTGTGAGTCATGCCGTAGCCTCTTGACCTCTGGTTGGTTTATTGTTGATGGGCTGATATTAGTGGATGGTCGTTTGACATGTTTATTTTGGGAAAAATTAGTTTCAGCAGTTGGAAATTTGGAGGAATGTTGAAAACACATTAACTTTATCTCACTATTTGGCTTATTCCCTGTTTCATTAGAAACTTTTATAAATCCTCTTTGGGAGTTTTCATTTGCTGTTTTCATTCCAGGCTTCTTCACATCACTTAGAAATAACTTCTGAGAAGTTTCTTTGGAACTTACTAAAGAGGTGATAACAGACTGTAATGAATTTTTTTCTGATACTTCATTCTGATTATTTTTAGATCGAAAAATTAACTTTTGGGCACTTTCACTTGGTTTGACAGAAGAACTAACAGTAGCTTGCACCAACAACTTTTGCGGAATTTCAATTGGATTGCCTGAAGGAGTAGCATTGGTCTGCACAAAAATTTTGTGGGGAATTTCATTCAAATTGACTGATGAATTAACAGTGGATTGTACCAAAAACTTTTGAGAAATTTCCTCGAGATTTAGTGAAGAATTAACAGTAGCTTGAACCAATAACTTCTGGAGATTTTCACTAGAATCAGTCTGAGAACTGATAACAGGTTTTAAAACTACTTTCTGAGCTGTTTCCTCTGGTTTAATTAAGGAATCAACAATTGAGTGTAACAAAACTTTTCGGGGAACTTCATCTACATTACTGGAATAGGTAACTGGCTTTAACAATAAATGTTGATAATTTTCATTTGCCTTAGTTGCAACTGTACCTGCAGCACGCAACAATAACTGTTTGGAGTGTGCAGAGCGGCTCGGATTAACAACATTCACGATAAAAGCTGCTTTGGGACAGTTGCTGATAGGAAGGGTACGTGAAGTGACAACATTACTGGTGCTGCTCACAGCTGTTGAAAGCACTAATGTGTTATTTATTGAGCTACATTCTATGTTAGTCCTGGTGATAGCTTTGGATGCACAGTCTAGAGTATGAGCAATGTCAGATATGGAAGAAAGATCTGGGCTTTGACTGGGATGTTCCAAACTGTTCCTTGAACCATTTGTTTTGTTAAGCCTTTCTTTCAGAGAACATTTTTGCAAAGATAAACTCCCTGAAACTTCTGTACTGGAAGTCACTGAATCACCACTATCACTAGTTTCTCTAAGATTAATTTCCTTAGAGACTGCATTTCCATTTTCAACTTTAACACTATTCACAAGCACAGTTTCTGACACTGCACAGTTTTTTTCATTGCCTTCCTTACCATTTAGTAAATGAGAGCTATTTATCTGTGGTGCCATTGGTAACTTTCCCTTATCTAGTAATCCATTTAAAAGTGGAGAGTTCTTATATGCTTTTCCTTTAACTGTCTGTTGGCTACATCTTTCTTCCTCAGTTTCAGGTTCCTGGATTCTACTAAGAACTGATTTAAGAAACTGTGTAGATGAAGTGACTTTGGTTGTTGATGTTTGATTGGAAGGAGGTGAAAGTGATAAAGGGGTGGTAGGATTTACTAACATATTTCCATTTTGATTCTTAATAGTTAAAGTTCTAAACTTAAGTGTATTTTCTACAGGGATTTCTTTAGAAGAAAGGGGAGAACTAATGGTTGCACATAAGTGATTGGGAAGTGGTAACTTGTTCTGGACATTAGATACATCATCTATTGCCCATTCCTTTGAGGAATGGGATAAAATTTTATAATTTGTTGGCATATTATGATCAAAGGATGAACCATTTTTCTGGGATTGATTCTCTGTATTCTTGAGATTTTTGGCCTTCTCCTCTTGGAAGCAAACCTTTTGAAAATATATTTCATAAAAATAAAAATGTTTCACAATAGCAAAACTCATACTTTACATATAAAAGAACAGAAGAAATCTTAATAAAACAACTACTGGAAATTACAGAATATGGTACTATAATTTTAGATGAAAAATAATTATTATTTTAAGAATTTATTTTTCAAGACAGAAGTTAAAGAGGAAAATCAATAATAGCTACTGTAAAAATTGTTAAGGTAATGAGTTGAAATTTATAAAGCTAGGTCTAAATAGTGACAATAATAATTTAAACAAAAAATTAGAAAAATATAAAAACTTCCAAGTCAGTATTTGATGTCCAAAATAGTGGAAAGACAAACAAGTAATAAAAAACATTTTGTAAAATGTAAAATGATGAGGGGATGTCAGTGCCAAAAACAATGCAAACAAGAATATATGAATGATACAGCTATGCATAGATCACATCTATATGACTTTCAATATTAAAATGTAATGCTACACTGTAAAATACATGAGTACAGAATGGTTATGAAGTCAGTCAATTTGACCGACCTGTAGCGAGAGTTTGTAATTATCAAGACATGTTTTGATTCAATTTAGTTTTCCTTGTACATAAGTTCTAGGCTCTTAGTTACATTACATTGATGGCTACCCTGATATGATCATGATAAACAAACTACATACCAAGTCAGGAACACATAACTTCCAACTGCAGTCATGTTAAAGTCAAGTATGTATTTCACAGTGTAACAATAAATTTCTTGCCTTGTTTTTGGGCTTGTTGGGTAGTGAGTGGCAATCATATTTGAAAGTAAAACTCTCTTGTTGATTTTTTAGCATGCATATTTGTATTATGCCTACTGAGTATGCCTTGGCCATCACGACATATAGTCTACTAACTCTATGATATGCATAATTTTGCAAAATGATAAGGTTAAATAATTTAACTTTTAGTAAAATAATTGGGAAAAGCAAAGCATATACCTTTTTCTGAATTCCATTAAAATGAGTGGGAACTGAAAGTTTCACTTTAGCACACCTAGTATGGGTGATAACACTTTTAGTTCGATTAGGATTACTTGATGAAGTAAACGAGGTGGAAGATGTAGGTTTTGTTGTAGATCCAACTTTAGATTCTTCTGGACTGGGAATAATATTTGTGGATATTGTAGAAGGAACATGTGCTTGAGGAGACTGATTCGACCAATTATTTTCTGTCACTATAACAGAAGCATTCTGTGAATCACTGATAGCTGTAGAGACCTTGCTGGCCAGAAGGCTTTTGATTAGGGTACTAGATCTACTTGTTGCCCCTTGATAGGATGTAGGGGAATGAGTAGATGAGGTGGGTCTTGAGGGACAAGTAGCAAGAACTTGGCTCAGCATTGAGTTGTAGCGTGGAGAAGGTGTAGAAGAACGGGGTGGAGCAGACAACTGTGCTTTCAAAATTGGGCTGGTATTTGGATTTGTTACTGAACCAGGTGGAGGAGATGGAGTACAAGGTAGCGGTGAGCCCAATAGAGTTGTGTTGGCCAAACCTTAAAATTGAATTGTGAAAATAGATATCAGTACAGTAGAAAAACAGCCCAATATGTTAATTTTTGAGCTTTTATACAGATTAAACATTCTACCTAAGACCTAGCTAATAATTATTATCCTAAAGATACAATAATTATGACAACTATAATAAATATTTAATAAAACTAACCCTCTCCCAATTTAACAAAATGACTTCTGCTTAAAAGTTTTTAGTATTAAAGAATATGTACAAACACATATCCTATACAAAGTTCCCTGATCTTTTCTGTTTTTTGACAACTAAAGCTACTAATTTTGAGATTATGGATTTTCTAAATATCAATAATTAGCTCAGATTTAATATCTCTTAAAAAATTAATTTAGTATATTTATCACATAAGACTGAAATATAATCTAATTTCTAAGCTTTAAAATAATTACCTGGCTTCAACACTTGTGACTTTAAGTGGACAGCACTTGGAGATGGTTTAGATGGTAAAAAGTTAGGATTTTTCTTTTTACGAATACCTTTATGGTGGAAGGATAAAAGGTAATTTTCAGACTCTAACATCTTCAATGCAGACTGAGGAAACATTTTTCTATTAAAGAAAGGGTTAAAACAATAATTTTTTAAATAAAGATGGAATGTATAAAAAAAAGACACTGTTTTGAGGTCTAAATGATAACCTCAGTCCTTAGATAGTTCATGCTAATTTTTTATATTCTTATTATGTTTAAGTATGCACAATGAAGTTCTAAAGAATTTACAAAATATTATTTAAATAAACAGTTTTAGTACACATAAAACATTCAATTCTAAAAAAACCTACATGAGGTAGTTGGTAAAAAACAAAATGAAAAATAATTAATACATGGATCCAAAAATGATCAGTAAGGTTAAAATAATATAGCAATAATCTCATCCAAGTCAAATACAGATAAAGAATATGTAAGTTCGTGCAATCCCACTAAATTAGCTCTTTGAAATTTTACACAACTGAAACATTTAAATGAAAGCACTACTACTCATAATCAATATAAGTTTGTCAGTTAAATTTATTCTGACCAGCTTCAATGGAACAAACTTCTGTTAATATTAAACTGTGTGTGTGTGTGTATATATATATATTGCTAATGTCTGACTACATATATACAACACAACATATTAAATATCCCATTTATGTTTTCAACTCAAAGCATAATTCTTATACTCAAAACATCATTCTAAAACTGAAGTAATAATGTACAAAGGAAAAAACGTGTTCCAAATATTTAGCAAATAAAAAAGTAATCTTAATCTTGTTTCTTTATATTGCCACTATTAGTGTATAATCGGGACATCAATTTAGTCCTGTTTCTTTATACAATCAGGACATCAATTTCTAGAATACATAATTACTTGTCAGTTAAATATTTTCTAATTTTAATCGCAACTTTGATTTCTTTTTAATTTAAACATGCTTCATTTTCTCATGACTGAATGCATATCATTTGGAATTTAGTTCTTATTTTTAATTCTTCACTGTCCATTTGTTTTATGCTTTAATTCCAAAAAAAAGGTAACTGTCAATGAACATATTTTACCAAATATGTTGTTGTTCTTTTTTCTTTTAAGTTTCTTAAGAATGGTAACACAAATATCTTGTTCTAATGTGTACAAATAACCATAAGCCCCTGAATAAAATTCACACTGTAGTGGCTAAAAATTCAAACTTACTTGACACAACTGTTAAAATTTGCAGCATTTAAAACTCCTTTCCTTCCTGCTCGGCTGCACTCTTTAACATAATCAGCATATAACTCATCCCTTATTACTGAATGACCAGGTGCATACTCATAGAGACTCTTTAACCTAGATATTTTAGGAAACTGATTTAAAAACAATGCACTTCCATCAAGTTATTTTGTACATGCTCAATGTGAATTTTCACTCTCTATGACTGTAATCAGTAACTTTATCAGGTTTTGTATTACATTATAAAGCATATCTTTATTAATGACATAGGTCAGTTCTCTTTACTTTTAAATATTTTTTATACGCACCAATGAGAAGCAAATGATTCAGAGTCCATTTCTGTAACACTGGGAGATGATACAAAGTGACTGTTGGTGTTACCTAGGGAGAAAACTATATTTTAATAGTGATTATTATATACACCTGGAAAAAAGTTAAGCACCCCCAAATATTTTTCAGGATTGCTTATTGAAAATAAGGTTTAATTTTCATGATGTTGAGCAATGTTCATAATTTCAAACATAATTAAAAGGATGTGAGCATTCAGGTGTGACATTTAAATCAGGCGCGTTTTTTTCCCCAAGTGCAACTTTAGTGCATATTGGACGTGAAGAAGGGAGCGGCTGATCACTGTGTAATGATAGCCAAGCTGTCTACCTATCGCCTTGTAGGAAATACCAGCGGAATTCATGCCAATAATTTGCCATCTCTGCGCCTCTGATATCCGTCTTCTTGCCATTCTTACTTAAAATGATTTTGCATTCAGAAATTCGGGACTTAAATACGGATTTGATGCACGAGAAAAGTTTGGTCAGAAAACATGTTGCCACCCAGAATGTTAAGGACCGT